AATTCTTTTGGGGTTCTGAAGCAAACCCTCAAAAACAGAATTAAGTATTCTTCCTTATTAAGGATAATATAGGGATGATTATTTCTTAAGTCTTTTGGGGTTCTGAAGCAAACAGTAGTTTCGGGTGCAAGGATGCCTCATGAAGCGGACTCCACCGAGCCGCAAAGCCCTGTCGCAAGACCACGGATCCTAAAGCCTACAACTGAAAGATAATTTTAGGGTTTAGGGTTTAGGGTTTAGGGTTTAGGGTTTAGGGTTTAGGGTTTAGGGTTTAGGGTTTAGGGTCCCTCTTTTCTGGGGCCTCCTGCGACGCGAGCCCTAAGCTTGAAACCCTACAAACCCTAAACCCTACAAACCCTAAGCCTTATTATGAACTCTAAACCCCAAGTAGAACCCTAAACCCGAAGCCCTAAACCCTAAGCCCTAAACCCTAAACCCTAAACGCGCGGGAGGCAACCTGACCACCTCTGGACGTGGGCTCGGCAGGACCCCACCCGTGGCCCTGAATGCCGAGCAGGCGCGCTGGGGTTTAGGGTATAGCATGGGCTGTAGGAGTGAAGGGCTGAGGTTGGGATGTTCCTCCTTATCCTAACAGTCCTTAGTAGGATGACAGTACCCCGTAGTATAATCCCTAAAATATACGTAAGGGATAGGGTTAGGGGGACCCTTGGGGATAGAGACCCTTTAAATAAGGTCCCTGTTGAAGAGAGCCAGAAGAGGGTTGAGAAGGGGTTCCCTTTTAAGGGTCCCCCTTATCCTACCTAGGATAAGGGTAGTTACATGGGCCCTTCATATGGTCCCTTACCTCCATTAAAGGGGCTTATAATATTAGGGACTGTGAGTATAACGGGAACCTTCCCAGGGCTGAGGGAGGGCTTCAGGCCTTGAGGGTTTGTAGGTAGGGCTTGAAGATGGGGGTCGGAATAGTTACGAGTATAGTAGTCCCTTGTGGTCCCTGTAGAATGCTACTAGAATAGCCCGCAAAACCCTATCCTAATTCTTCAGGCTCCTTAGAGTAGGTTTGTGGGGCTTTCTGCCTTTTTTTTTGAGGGGGGGGGGGGAGAGTTGGAGTAGATTTCAACCAGCAAACAGCGGCGCGGGATCTCTAGGCCTGAATGGCCGGCACGTGGGGCTTGAGGATTTCTATATAGATATATATATATATATATATATATACTGATTTGTATTTATATTTATATTGATATTTATATATAGGGGATCTGGGCTTAGGGCCTTAATAGAGATTCCAGTACCCACGATTCGAATCCCCATTAAGGACTGTTAGGGTAGTAGCGGGGGAAGATCCCAGGATATGGGCTTCGGGCCTTGGCGAGCTACTGGGATGTAGTGCAGCCTACGCTTTGCGGAGCCCGGCTTCTGGGGCTTCAGGGGGCTTCCCAGAAGCTCCCGAAATCCCCAACCCTAAGCCCTAAACCCCTTACCTTACTGGCTCAAAACCCAACTTTTCAACTTTTGGGCTTCTTATCAGGTAGTTTGTTCTGAAAGTTTAGACGTTTATTTCCTTGGGTTTTGGGTCAGTAAGTTACCAGGAGGGATATTCATGAAACCCCACCTGCGATCCTGATATGATTCAAGGAAGATTCGTTTGCTAAGCGGTATTGGATCTCTGTGAAGCAGGGGGGGCTTTGGGTTTAAGGGTGAAAGGAATACAAGACCAAGCACTTGCACGTGGGTGATGCGTCACGGCTTGTGTGTGCCAGTGATTCGATGTGATTCGAGTCCCTGGACCTTAAATCTATACGCCCAAGCCGTAAAGTGTTATTCTTGAACTAAGGGGTATTTGGGTCTCCGGGAAGTAGGGGGTGTTTGAAGTTAAGCCCTAAACCCTAAACCGCGAAGTGTTAAAGGATTGCAGTCAAAAGAGGCCGAGCACTGATACACGTGCGTCATGGCTTGCACTGGATTGGGGGTGAGAGTTTAGGGTTTATTTGTTCTAAACCGAAACCCCAAAACCCACAAATTCTGAGTGAAAAGCTCTGAAGCGTAGATCCAGAACAATTAAGTTCTCGATCCTTTTAGTAGCCCCAAAGTAACCCCCTTTGCAAGCAAGGTTCCCTGAACCCTAAACCCTAAGCCCCATAACCCCGAAGCCTAAACCCTAAACCCTGAACCCTAAACCCTAAACCTTAAACCCTAAACCCTAAACCCTATGCAGGTGCAGACCCTGGCCGAAGTCTTGCAAAACACCTCCTTTGAAGGCGAGCCTACCAGACTTGGAAAGATTCGGGTTTGGGGTCTAGGGCCCTAAACCTCAAACCCTAAACCCTGAACCCTGAGCCCCCCAAACCCTTCGGGGTTTAGGGTTTAGGGTTTAGGGTTCAGGGTTTAGGGTTTAGGGTTCAGGGTTCAGGGTTCAGGGTTCAAGGTTTAGGGCTTTCCGTGCAAGCCAAGGGGGGCAAGAAGAAGCCTGAGCCTAGGAGTAGATCTCAAGCGTCTTAAGATAGTAAGCTTGGCAGCCGAGGGCTGCCCTTTTGCCCGTTTAGGGTTTAGGGTTCAGGGTTTAGAGTTTAGGGTGTAGGGTGTAGGGTTTAGGGTTTAGGGTTTAGGGTTTCGGGTTGCGAGGTTCCCGTGTAAAGGAACCAAGAACAGAGGGGTACTCTTATTGTAATATGGCTGCTGGGCTAATTAAAAAGTAAACCCTACACCCGACACCCTGCCTGAAGGCTCCAACGTAGATGCTTCTTTGGGTGAAATACAGGGGAGTATACTACCCCAAAAGGTACTGCGTTGGAGCCTGTAGGTAGACCCTAAACCCTAAACCCCAAACCGTGGACCCTGACCCCTGAACCCTGAACCCAGCTGCTGAGAGGTGAGGCCAGCATCGACATCCCCTGCGGGCTCCAAACGCAGCTTCTGGTAGATTCCTCCGGGCAGGCTGGGGTTTAGGGTTTAGGGTTTAGGGTTTATGTGAAACTTGTGAACCTATTTGGGTGGATTACTCTGATCCACAGTGCACAGTCGAGAGGGAACTTTCTTTTGCTCTTTCTTGTCAGCGGGTTTCAGCTCAAGGCCTTGTTTGGACCAAAAGCGAAAGCATTTATAGCTTCAGCAGTCCACCCACACCCACAACACTACAATGCAAACTAATGCAGCCAAGCGGTAGATGTGCTGCTGGGGTACCTGCAGTCAGCGCGTCATATTTCACACCCCCTTTCGTCGGTGAACTGCAAGGTGCGCCAATACGAGGTCCGTCTCTGATTTGAGGGATACATGAAGACGAAGCAAGGTGCTTCCGATTCCCCGGCTTCTCTGGCCTGCTTGTTCCCAATAATCAGAACGATACCTCTCACCAACCCAGACAGCAAAGGTGTGGCACCACGCTGCTCCTTTCGAAAGCCTTTACTGTTCATACCACACCAGATACAGAGTTCACTGATGTTCATCCACCATTGCTTGCAGTACTGTCAGCGTCCATTTCCAAACTTTGCCTCGTTGAGCACCTGTGTTGAACTCTTCTTGATGAGGCCCCAAACACATAGTCTCAAATAGACCAATCTCAGAGCCATGGCGGCGGCGATGAGGCCAAGGAAGGAAAGGTGAGGGCTAGGTCTTACAAGAGCTTCCACCCCTGCTTGCTGCCCGGAGCAGCTTTGTCACAGTCCCTGTTCTGACTGTGATACGAAAGACCACGCCCAAATTGACGTAGCGGATCCGAGTAACCCATGCGCTGTACATTGGCACCTTTGGTACCGCAAAAGACCTGTACAGAAAATATGTGCTTTAAGCTATATGCAGTGGAAAACGACTACCAAAGCAAGTTAGGAAAACAATCAAAGAGATCTCCAAAATCTCTCTGACTTCGCGCTGGCAACCTCCTAGACGAACTACACTTTGAGCTATACACAGTGGAAAATAACTACCAAAGCACGTTAGGAAAACAATCAAAGAGATCTTCAAAATCTCTCTGACTTCGTGCTTGCCACCTCGTAGACAAACTACATACAAACAACTAACCATATCGCTCGAAATCAGGAATGGTTGTCTTCACTCCCTCATACCAGCGAATGATGCGGCAGATTTGCTGCTCCGAGTACTTGGCCTGTACATCCTGCAAAGTGAGCATCGGCGTCCGCTTGGGCCCAGCTGTTGCCTTTGGCAAAGCTTCAGCCTGTACAGATGACTCCACCTTCGGTGGATGCTCTTCAGGAAACGCTCTACACTCCGGAGCCTGAGTAGGCTTACTTGGAAAAGCACGTGAGCTATGCGGGGCTGCAGAAACTCTCGGGGGAGGTGAGTCTGAAGCCTTTGACTTCTTGGTTGGGGGACCTTCCGGCTCTGCCGGTGGATCCGAGCCCCGAATGAAAATACCAGGTGGTCTATTCAAAGTGGGCTCATCTTGCCTACTTGCTACTCCGCGTCGCCGCTGGTAAGCTGAGTGTTGCATTTCCTGCAACTCTGCTGCGCGCCCCTCCATTTTTGGGCCGAAAAACTATACGAACAAAAAATTCTTAAATCCTGCTAATAAAACTTCACGCACACAAACACACACGTGCAAATTAAAAATCCCACATCATCTGTATACATGCATATAAACAAAAATCAGACGTGAGACCCTATCCTAAACGGTCCTAAACCCCCCTTTCAAGCACCCAGCCGCAGGGAAGGTCAAAACATGCATGTTTGAAACACTTCAGCCTATGTCTGGACTCAACAGCGCTTGCACTGATGGCCCATCACTTGGCAGAAAACCGAGTGTACGCCTGTGGCGCACAAACAGAGACATTGGCAGGCATTTAGTAAAGAGGTCGGCAGGATTCTCCGTGCCTATTCACGCGCAGATATCCTTTGGAAATCAGTTCGCGCAACCAGAAAACTCGAATTTCTATGTGCCGTGAACGTCTTGGCAAATCTGCTCCCATGAGCAAAACACGTGCAGATTCGGAATCCGTCGACAACTGTACAAAAGGCCATTCAGCCTTTGAGAGCCAACGAAAACTCGACAAGATTCTATGTACAACATGCAAAACCACCAGAGACTCTTAAGTCATCGTTTGGATCGCGTGTAGTTCTGCTTCGCAGGAACTCAGCGTGACAGAAGCTTGCTGTCGAGCCAACGCCTTGATCAGAGACCCCTGGAGGATGATAACTCCTCCGGTGATGCTCTTGCGTCCCAGCGAACGCATAGGCGCATAAGAAGCATCGGAAAACACAGAAACTTCCTGGTATGAGTCATTGCTCATCGTCTCAGGAGAAGGAAAGTGCACTCGCACATCACCATCTTTGCGTAAAAACCTGAGGAGAGCACGTAGGGCTTCCTCGTGCGCAGCCGTAGGAGCACTTTGGCCCACAGAAACAAGGGAAATCGCGATATGCAAGTCTTCACGCGTTTGCGCGAACCACGCAAGTTTTCCCAGAACACGCCTAAACTTAGCATGCGCTTCTGCCGACAACACATGGCTATTGCTGGATTTCTCCAACACTGCTCTGATGTCAGGAAAAGCAGATGAACCACCTCCGCGACCAGACAACTTATAGTCGTCGTAGCAGGAGTCTAGGTAGTTGGCATCGACAAAGAGAGTAAGCGCAGCTTCGCCCGGCCTCCTCTCAATGTTTCGTCCCAGGAAACGCAGGTGTCCACCACCCCCTTTGGAGGAGAGAATCCTACCAGTCAGCTTCGTCGGTACTCTACTCTGCAGAGCAGCAAAGATCTTGTTAATGACCTTTTGGCTAGGACATGCTATCAGCACATCGTCAACGTACAGGAGCACTAAACATTCCACTCCATCAACAAGGCCACTGAACAAACACGGCTCACGCTCACAGGCATGGAGCCCAAGCGGTCCAAGAGTGTCGCTTGTAATGTACTCCAACCACGCGCGACTGGAAAGACGCAACCCATTTAGGGCTTGGGATAAAGCCATGTACACCGGTTCTCCATTTGGAAAACTTACCGACAAAGGCATTTTGATACATGCTTTGCGGTGTTTGAGCGGTGTGTGCATAAAGGCTTGGGAAACATCAAGGGATGCTAGCTCCCAATCATGGCGTCCTGCATACGCGAGAACGGTCCTTAAAGCTTCTACCGAAGGAGTAGGACTGGAAATCTCCAAGGAACGCGCGCTCTTTGAGCCACGAAAGTCTTTTACAACTAACCGGGACCGCACTATTTCAGCGCCGTCCGTGTCGGTCTTCTCATTAGTAACCCAGCGGGAAGCCAACACTTGAATGCCATGTTTGTGGCAATAAGCTTCGGCCTGCGCTTTGTTCATGACGTTACCAGCTTTACAGGAACTTAGTCCACCAAGCTCTTTCAACATTCCTTTAAAAGTGGCATCACCATTAAGTTCTGCCATACTGACATCAGACACAGCCGAGGAAGGCTGCCAAACTTTAAGCTTAGAACCACAAAACTCCACAGTTTGACTCTTGGCTTTGGCAGAGTCGTCGAACACAACTCCAGAAAGGTGAAACACATCAGGGCTAACAAGTTCAGGACCCGTCAACCCAAACGATCCATTGATCATGGTTGCGGCATCGACTAAACTGTCAACCTCCATTGGGACACTCTGCGGCTCTTCATTAGAAGTACCCGGCCCCGACACTGAGCTATCTACAGCTTCAGGTATTGGGATAGGAAGCGGCAACGCTGGACTCTCTACATCCGAGGGCACATAATCGGAATTGTCGAAGTCTTCCTTCAATTCTTCCTGAGCTGGCCTCTTTTGACCTTTGGCATGCACTTCTTCAGGGGAAGTCTTTGTCCTTATTTTAAAACGACGAGGAGCGGGGCGGGATCAAACATTTCAGGGCTTGGCACCGCAGTTTTACCCGGCTCTTCAGCAACCTCTATATCGAACTTACTCAACCAATCTGGTTGGTGGTCTTGCGACTCAGGTTCTGGCACACTAGGAACAATAGCAGGTGAAGGCTCAGCTTGCTTAGCAGGCTGCTCCTTACCTTCCTTTAACAAGTCCTGCTGCTTTTGCAGAAAGAGGCGATACCGCTCTTTACAAGCTTTGTTGTGAACTCGTCCGTGAAAAGTTGGGTACGAACAGGCATTACATCCTGGCGTACGCCCGTGCTCCTTGAGGAAGGACGCTGGCGGCTGTCCCTTTACGACAATTTCGCCCGGTTGTATTGGTCCCTCGTAAGCCTTTTGCGGCCCTTTGTCAAGCTTAGGGTTCAGTGCAAGACCAGTTTTGGTCAAGAATCCCTGAGCTAAGGAAACATCAAAGCTAATTGGAGTGAGAAATTTTAAACTCTTGGCGGTAAAAACTTTCTTGATACCTTCCAAGGTCGTAATTACAGTGTGCCCCATTGAGCTCCATTGTGGGCTCAAATAGCATGCCTTAACAAAGCGAGAGGGCGCTTGCACCGATTCCGGTACTTCAGCAAGGACTACCGAGCCGTACAAAGCAAACTTTGCTGTTGGGAGTTGACGGTTGGCAAGCGCTTCGCGCGCCGTCCTTGCCCCCTCCCCAGGACATGCAAAACAGTTATGAGCAAACGCAACATACTTAAAAAGTTGAAACCAACTGTCGTGAGTGTTGCATATATCTACACCTTCCTCACGCAAGTCCACACGGATAGTAGCGGCTCCTTCTTTGAAGCGCCTAACCGTGCGTTCAGCTGCTCCCACACTTTCGTGTCCTTGCGGCGATGCTTTGCGCACTAAAATTCGCACACCTGATTCCAGGCCTGTTTTAAACAGCTGTGCAACCGCCTTTTCGGCGTCAGTAAACAACTCAACTATTTTAGAAGAAGGCATGGCAAACTCAGCAAGCCAATGTGCCAAAACTGAATTTGTCACTCGCCTATCAGACGAGCAAGGTATTACACCTATCATGCCCGACGCCACTTCTATAATTGCCAAAAACCTGTGCTCTTGACGCGAATTTTCATGCGCGATATCAAAGAAGTCAGCATACAGCCTTGGCTCAGGAGACTTGCGGCGCTGGCGCGGGTGCCTATACACACCACGACTTTGCTGACACTGGACACAGTGGGGGTCATAAGGAACATGTCTCCTCATTCTGTGCTTTTCATACTCAGCAGCATCCCTTTTAGAGAGCTGCTCCTCCCGTCGCTTGGCGGGCTCAGCAACAGGCTGGCTTGAAGCAGCGCTTGTCTCCCCAACTGCAGCCGGCTCTTGCTCAAAAACACTCTCTTTAGAGAGTTGTTCTCCACTTTGCCTGGCAGGCACAGCTGAGGCACTGGGCTCCTCAGCTGTCCCTGAAGCCATTAGCACTGGTGAAAACCTGGGTCCTTTGACCCTTTAGGCACATCAAGATCGCCTTCGGCAACCTCAACTGCCCGCAACCATGGACACCCACAGTACCAAGTTATGTCACAGATAATCACGCCTGACGCATGCTTCAGGTGACACCCATCACTGACAAAGTGGATTTCCCAACCTTTGTCCATCAACTGAGGTACACTGATAATGTTGTGCCGCGTTTTGCCGACATAGCAATTCAGGTCAAACGGCATCACAGAGTCCTTGGTTTCAAAAGCGACTCTAGCGCGACCGCGTTTGGACATCTGTACAGCAGAACCGTTCGCGGCGGAGAAACCTCCCGGACTAGCATCCGTAAGGTGGGAGAAAGAGTACTTGCTCAAAAACTGCGTGGCCATTACTGTCACAGAGGCGCCTGAATCCAGCAGCCACCATGACCAACTGTCATCTGTGTCCACTTGAAACAGCATCAACGCATCACAAAGAGAACGCAAAGGACACAAACCAAACTCACTCTTCTCTTCAACATCGTCGTTGAGAAGGAGAGGCATCATGAGCAAACTGCTCGCAGTACCTTCTTCTTCGGCTTCATACTCACCAGCCTCATAGGTCCCATCATCCTGAGCTGCTTCTTCGCCTTCGGCATCTTCAGTGAGCTCGTGCATCTTGCCTTTCTTGCCGCCTTTGCCTGAGCGACCACGGCCTTTGGCCTGAGTGCTCTTTCCACGGCCCTTTCCCTTAGCAGAAACAGGCTTGCCAGTCGTTCGAGACTCTGCAGTTTTACTGCTTTGGCTACTTGTGTCAGAGTGAGACCTCGCTTTGGCCTTGGCTTTGGGGCATCTTGCTCCTATGTGGCCTGTTTCACCACACTTGAAACACTCAGTTTTCGAAAGATCTGTTTTACAGTCTTTCTCAAAATGGCCTGCTTTGCCACAACGCCGGCATTTGCCAGACAAAGCACTAACAGTCTCGTCCTCGTACCATTCGTCATCTTCCCACCACTCGCCAGTGGGGTCATCTAGCTCATTCACAAGACGCTCCTGCCTGTCACCGAGACCCATCTCCGAAAACATCCGCTGTTGGGACTCGTAACGCAGAGCTGCCTTTCGCAACTCCACGTACGACTCTCCTGTGGCATGGAGAAGGCAGTAAGAGCGGGCATCTTTTGAAATACTCCGCAAAAGCATAAGGGTGAGATCTGACGAACCTACTTCGAGACCATCGCGAGAAACGGCGCTAGGCAAAGTCTCAACAAGTCTTTTGTAGCGAGACAGCTCGACGTCCACTTTGCGTACTATGTCTGAGACATGAGTAGCAGCAGACTCTCCACGAAAACTGCGCTTGATGAATTCGGCACGAAAGTAGCTGGCTTCAGCCCGAGAGCGTAAGGAAAACTCGTGGCCTAAAAGGCGTAAGGCTTCAAAACCACATGTGTCCCCAGAGCTTCGATGGAGATTTTCTCCATACGTAGCCCCCTCTACATAGGAACGCAAAATCATGTCTGCTCTCGCGTGGCTGGCAAAAGCTTGGCGCAAGATAGCAAGGAGCCTGTTGCTCCTCTGAGCTTGCGGCTTGGTGAGAGTAGCTTGAAAAATCTCATGAGGCCACCTAATGGCTTGCTCAATCTCGATAGGAAAAGTATCACTACCAAGAGCAACCCAACCCTTCAAGGTAGTCAGGTACTCGTTAAAGCCCAAAATCTCCTGCTCACGGTTCTTCCAGCCATCAAACTGCGGGCTGGGAAGTGCAGGAAGCCACTTTTCAGACTTCGTAAAGATGTCCTGCTCCTCTTTCTCGGGCTTTGCCCGAGCAGAAGCTCCACAAAACTGCTGTCCTTGAGGTGGCGCCACTCTGGCACCGAAGCCACTGCTTGCATTGGTCATTCTGCCAACACTACCACCAGCACCTTCTTCTTGCGTAGGCTGCCCTCGTCCAAGGGCCAGCTGCTCCACCCGCCTGCCAAGATTAGCAACCTCAGCCATGCAACTTCTCAGGGCTTCGCCCTGCGAGTGAAGCAGTGCCCTCATAGTAGCCATATCTGCTTGGCCAGTTGCACCACACTGCGTGTGAGAAGGCTCCTCGTGAGCACCAAGTTGGGCTGCCAGGCGCTGCTGGCCTACAGCCTCATGCCCTTCGGGCGGCCCCTGCGGGGTAGACACATTCTCCAGACTATCAACATCAGCATCCTGCCCATTTGGCCCTCTTGGCCCTACAGGTGCAGACCCACCTCCAGCAGGTCCTGCCTGGCCCTCTTGGCCCGTTTCAAACACAGAGCATCCAGTTACGTTAGGAGCGCTCAGTCCACTTTGGAAAACACAACCTCCAGGTACGTTAGGAGAACTTGGCCCATTCTGGCCACCGGGGAAAAAACAGCCTCCAGGTACGTTAGGAGGACTTGGCCCATTCTGGCCACCATGGAAAACACAGCCTCCAGGTACGTTAGGAGGACTTGGCCCTACTTGGCCACCAAAACAAACGAAGCCTCCAGGTACGTTAGGAGCGCAACAACCTCCAAGTCCGTTAGGAGGGTAACCAGCCGAGTGGGCACCTGCCGGCCCGCACGGTCCACACATGGCTCCTCTGAGCCCCGCCGTAGCCATATTTACATTGGCGCCTTCCGGCACTCCGCCCATTGAGCTCTGACCCAAAGCAAACTGCGCCAGTCCAGGCGTCCTGTACAGTCCCTGCTGCATCATCGCGGCTTGCTGCGCTTGGAAAAACATTCCGGCTCCTGGCTGCATACCCACCGGTGGCTGCGGAACCGTCTGTCCCGACCCAAAGCCATTGCCATCATCCGCATCCATCCTGAAGCGTTGTGGCCTCTGTGGGCTATTCTGTACACTTCCACGCTCTACATCGTAAACATGAGACGGAGTCCTACCATCACCCTTGGCTCTTTGAGTGGCCTCGTACGCTGGGCCATACCTTTGACGCCTCGCGTCAGCAGCACTTGGTGAAGGCGTCCTAACTCTACTCGTCATCCTGCTCACCTACGTGTCCTAGCGCTATGTACAGGGCAGCTTCTGGAGCGACTCAGCGCTCCGCTACCATGTGAAACTTGTGAACCTATTTGGGTGGATTACTCTGATCCACAGTGCACAGTCGAGAGGGAACTTTCTTTTGCTCTTTCTTGTCAGCGGGTTTCAGCTCAAGGCCTTGTGTGGACCAAAAGCGAAAGCATTTATAGCTTCAGCAGTCCACCCACACCCACAACACTACAATGCAAACTAATGCAGCCAAGCGGTAGATGTGCTGCTGGGGTACCTGCAGTCAGCGCGTCATATTTCACAGTTTAGGGTTTAGGGTTTAGGGTTTAGGGTTTAGGATTTAGGGTTTAGGGTTTAGGGTTTAGGGTTTGAGGCATCCTCGATTCATTCGGTTTCGTGTCTAGGCCCCGGAGTAGGCCTTTATTTCCTGTTGTGTTGGGGCTTAGGGGCTCCCCTAGAAGCCCCTTTACAGCAAAAAGTGTTATTCCTAGGTTACTCTTGGGTCTAGGTGTTTAGGGTTTAGGGTCAGGGCTTAGGGTAAACGAAGTGCAAGCACTCCGTGAGCATTGGGTGCATGCAGCGTTGTTTGGATACCAGGCCACTGTACGATCCTAAGCTCGGCAGGCGTCTTTCAGCTGGGCCGGTGTCTCCCCTCCCCAAAAGGGTTTAGAGAAGCCCTGACAGCCCTCGAGCTAAACCCTAAACGGTTCACGCGGAGCGCAGCAACAGTGGGGTCCTCTTTCTTTTTGAGGCGGTTGGAAATTCAGGGCTTGAACCGTCGGACACTCACTGCCCTTGATTCCAGGGATGAAAGATACACATGGGGGGGGGGGGGAGGGGGGGGGGCCTCCTATGACCAAGGGGCATGTTGAAACATTTCTCAGACGATGCCAACCTTGAAGGCTGGTCATAGCGAGGTTACCCCGCAGTCGCGTCAAAGTGTTCGGATGAGGCGATCCGAAGCCGACCTCAGCCGGAAATTTCACGACCTGCCTCTAAACTCTTCACACTAAACCCTATTTAAGCCCTAAACCCTAAACCCTTATCCCTTAAACCCTAAACCCTAAAACCTAAACCCTAAGCCCTAAACCCAATTAAGGCGACCCTGGTTCATCTCCTCGCCCTGGTAAGAGGTGGCGGCCATGGGTAGCCACTCTTCACTAAGCGCCTTGTCTAAGCTACAAGAGTCTTCTTTTGTGCGGTTTAGGGGTTTTAGGGTGTAGGGTTTAGGGGTTAGGGTTTAGGATTTAGGGTTTAGGGTTTAGGGCTTGGGTTTAGGCCGAAGAGTTTAGTGTATATATATATATATGTGGCAGGAACCTTTATGTATGATATGACCTTTTAATTGTTCTCCACACACAACACACCCACACACGCACACTTTGTTCCTTTCTTCTAGACGAGATCGTTGCAAAAGGGGGTTCCCCCCCTAGAGCAGGGTTGAGCCCGCTCATTCCTTCCATTTTGCCTTCTTCATCCTCCGTCTCCTCTTCAACCTCTTCTTTGGCTTTTTCTTACAAAGGAGACAGGAAAAGCAAATGGCAGACTCCAGTAATTCTCCCTCTGTTGCCTTCTTTCTCGTGTTCCGATGCTTCTGTTCCGTCTTCTATTCGAGTAGATTGAAGGGAATATGTCGGTAAAAGGTGTTCACCCTCCCGCAACCTCTTCTTTGGCTGTGTTCTTACAAAGGAGAAAGGATAAAATGCAAGAAGATGAGTCAAAATAAGACAGGTCAAAAAGAAGCAAACTGACGATCAGAGAGAGGGAAGAAAAAATTGTTTTGTGAGTTGCAGAAAGGGGCTCCCTCTTTTCCTGGAGCAGGGTTGATTTCCTGTGTTCGCTCTCATTTGCCTTCTTTCTCTCCTGCGTGCCTATGTCTTCTGTCCATGGTTTGAGGAGATTCAAAGGGACAGATAAGAAATGTGAAAAGGGTTTGCCTGTCCCTTTCGCTGTCCTTGATCTTAAGAATCTTGTCTTTTCTCAGTCAGCAAGAGAGGAAGACACAGTAGAAGGGAAACATCAAGGAACGCTTGAAAAAAACAACGGATACATAAGAGGAAGAAGAAGAAGAAACTCCCTCTCCTCTCTTCTCGATCTTGTTCAGCTCTCTTCTTGCAGATCATCTCCTACCTTCATCCTTGGCATTCTCTCTCTTCTCTCTCGCTCTCTCTCTTCTTTGTTCCTTTCTTCCAGACGAGAAGCAAATGGATAAGACGAGATGGAAAGAGACATTCTTTGCTTCGCTGCAGATTGTGGGAAGAAAACAATGAGTTTAGAATCCAACACAGTAGACTGCTTGGGGAACAAGGCTTCCCTTTGCTCTTTTTGTGAAAGTCGGGCATACAACAGTGCGAAGAAATTCCCCCTCCCCGTTTATCCCTGTTCTATAGTCTATCTCGTTACAGAAAGACAAATACATATACAAGGCGCCAATTTCAGTCACTACTCATCCTGCCTCGTCTTTCTTTTCCCACTTCTGTTGCGCTTTTCTTACAGCAGGAAAACGGAACATGCAAGAATGCACATGAATCTCGCCACCATCATCCTCGCTCGTCTCTCTTATCTCCCTTCTCTCTTCTTTGTTCCCCACCCTCGGTGTGGGGTTGTTTGATTTTAAACTCAACTCTTCTCCTCGCCTGCGACTCTTCTCCTCGCCCGGAACTCTTCTCCTCACCCGGTCTACTCCTCGCTCATCCCTGGAGCGCCCAACCCCATAGTGTCCCTGGAGTGCCCAACTCTAGAGTGGCCCTGGAGTGCCCAACCCCAGACAACCCCAGCCCAGCCCCAGAGTCTCGCTAGGGCGCCCAACCCCACCGTTTCCAGGAGTGCCCAGCCCAGAGTCTCCAACCCCAGAGTCCCTGGAGGCCCAACCCCAGAGGCCCAACCCCAGTGCCCAAACTCCCTGAAGCCCAACCCCAGTGTCTCCCTCGAGCGCCCAGCCCCAGAGTGTTGCTGGAGTGCCCAACCCCAGAGTATCTCTACCAAGAGAGGGTGGGGATGTTCGAAGCCAAATATTTTCTAACACACGTGACAATGAATACACAAGAGGACAAGGAAAAGAGAAGTTTTTGGACGGGAAAAGAGGGGAGGATGGATTGTTTTTGTTCGTGGCAAGAAGGAAGGCCGCTGAGTGCCCCTACACCCTCTCTTTTGCTTTCTTTCTCTCCTGCGTTGCCAGGTTTTCTGTTCTTTGTGCTTAGGAAATTCAAGGGAACTGCAAAAAAAAGAGGAAGACGCTTTCCTTGTCCCTTTTCGTTGCCCTTGCTCTTTTCTTTTCTCATTCAGCGAGAGAGGAAGAGACTGCAGGGGGAAAACAACAAAGAATGGACAAAAGTAGGAAGAAGTTTTCCTTGTCCCTTGTCGTTGCCCTTGCTCTCTTCTTTTCTCGTTCAGCGAGAGAGGAAGAGATTGTAGGATGAAAACAGCAAAGAATGAACCAGAGTGCTTCTCTCTATTATCTTATTGAGAAGAATGAGCGCATAAGACTGGGAGGAAACGCACTCCTCGCTTTTCCGTCTGCTTTGGCTCTTTTCTTGCATACGAAACAAATGAATACACAAAAAGACATGAAGAGACAACTGGGAGAAAACGACAAGGAGCTGACCCGAGTGCTTGTCTTCTCTTACAGGCAAAATAAGACAGGTCAAAAAGAAGCAAATGGACTATCAGAGAGAGGGAAGAAAACATTGTTTTGTGAGTTGCAGAAAGGGGCTCCCTCTCCCCCTGGAGCAGGGTTAATTTGCTGTGTTCGCTCTAATTTGCCTTCTTTCTCTCCTGCGTGCCTATGTCTTCTGTTCATGGTTTGAGGAGATTCAAAGGGACAGATAAGAAATGCGAAAAAGGTTTCCCTGTCCCTTCCGCTGTCCTTGATCTTAAGAATCTTGTCTTTTCTCAGTCAGCAAGAGAGGAAGACGCAGTAGAAGGGAAACAGCAAGGAATGCTTGGAAAAAAACAACGGATACATAAGCGGAAGAAGAAGAAACTCCCTCTCCTCTCTTCTCGATCTTTATCAGCTCTCTTCTTGCAGATCATCTCCTACCTTCATCCTGTGCTTTCTCTCTCTTCTCTCTCTTCTCTCTCTGTCTCTCTCTCTCTCTCTCTCTCTCTCTCTCTCTCTCTCTCTCTCTCTCTCTCTCTCTCTCTCTCTCTCTCTCTCTCTCTCTCTCTCTCTCTCTCTCTTCTTTGCCCGACTTTCACAA